ACGCATCGTCACCACAGAACAAAGCATAGAATGTCAGTCAAACCTCTCTCTACCTCAACCTTTTCGACTTCGAAAAGGCCTTCGATAAACAGCGTTGACCGAGACGCAATATGGAAACTGTTTCAACGCTACGGTGTGCGGTTCCCAAATCTTTGTCAACCTCATTCAATAGCTGACTACATGACAATTCCACATGTTAGTCAGGCGATCCACAACAGAAAACTCAGTGAGGCGTTCAAAGTGCATATAGGAGTAAGACAACGCAGCCTGCCTATTATCACCTACGATGATATTCTTAATTGTGGTTGACTGGATTATGCATCAGTCAGTGCTTGGGGTTGAGGAGACATGGATACACTGGATCACCGATAAGAGGACTCCAGAAGATCCGAATTTCGCGCGTGAATGATATATGTCTAATGTCACACAAACTCGAAGACTCGCAGGCAGGCGAAAACCAACAAACTGGCTGAAGAATTAGGCAGGCGACGAAAACAGGACTGCAGGTGAACATAGACAACACGCAGGTAATGAAGATAACCAACGAACCGCAACAACAACAACAACGATAACAACAACAAAAACCAGCACTAATCCCCGTCGACGGGAGACATTTAACAGAAGTTACTTCCTGCCTTCACTTATCAACCCGAAATCAGTTTGGAAATCCCCTACACATTCAGCAGCATAAGGAACAAAATTCGGATTTTCAACACAAATGCGAAATCAGTCAGGCAGTCAGTTCTTTTATACGCGTCAGAAACTTGCACTGCGTGTCAAGAAAAGGATTTCCAACAGTGTAGTGGAAACTTTCATCAACAGCTGCCTCCTTCACTGGCTGGCTCCATACGGAAGATCAAATGGCCAGCCGGACAGAAAGAATTACCAACAAGAAACTCTGGCTTTGAAGAAGCCAATCAGGAGCCAATCTCCTAACAAATGTGTGGGAGAAAGTGGAGATGGATTGTGTATGCATTGAGGATGTCATCGGGTGACATCGTGCTCTATTCAGGCCATTGCCCGAGTGGAATTTAAATGGGAAGCGACCAGTGGGTCGTTCTAGGCTGATATGGAGGTGTGTCCTACATAGATGACAATAAATATTTTATCATCTGTATTGGAGGAGGAGATGAGTGACTTTGGGGAATAGTGGACCCAGTTGAAGAAGGCGTCAGAAAACAGAACAAAGTGGAGATGTGTTGTTGGAGCACTGTGTTCTACTTGGAACGCAGGGGAGTAATAAGAATAATCAGAATATAAATAATGTCATCTTCTATGTGCACTAATGCCCGAACTACTGACGTCATCACGCCTTAAAACGAGATTTCTTAGGGCTGCTTTATTAGTGGAATGGAGTTTAGACTCAGAAACTCGCACCCATGTTTCACAAGATCACGTAAATCATTCTGTGCTCACGCAGCAGCGTTGTGAAATACTAAATCAGATATTCTGTTTACTGCTTTCCATAATTAACGCGGTAAAATATACCACGATACATATGTATCGGGAAGCGTGTTGTAGAAGGTTACATTTGGAGACGCCTTACATCAAAGGGTCTATTCACTAACAATACACAGAATACCAAATCTTGGCAGACGCCGTTCAGGGACTCCAGAAACTTAAGTAGCTACAAAATGCCCACGACAGATCTGATTGCGATGCACCCGGTTGTCTACTCTTTCATAGTTGTAGCAGTACAACCGAAGATCTGTCGAGAATCACCAAAATTAACAATGCACGACTTCTGTTACCGGTAGTAAGGTCTAACAGTTGTCTGCCTAACATTAGAAACAAAAATTACGAATTTAATTTTGAGCGATTATATGCCACATCGTTTTTGAGATGGCACCACCACCTTTTCTCGATGAATATTGTTGGATTTCAATGAATAGGCTAAATATGCCAGCAGGATATCTTGAAGACCTAAAAATATACTTTCAACTTTCAAACCTAGTGCACTTTTTAATTAATGACGCTGTGCAGATATAAGTTTGAGGCAGCACATTCTGATAAAGGAGAAGACGTAACACAGTTCAAGAATATGATGCTACCCATAATACTTACCCCAGAAAACTATTTTAAATGCAAAATTTCATTTTAAAATCATATGAAAAACATGACTTATCATTAAACTACCATAGAAACGGACTTAACGCCACAATTAGAGATTATATGCAATGAAACTATCCATAAACTTCTGATATGTTCAAACACAAAATTGTGTTTTTCTTATTATTTTATGAAAGTCTATAAAGTTTCTAGTCTTTAATGGGTCCGTTAGGGCTACATATAAACATTCACTAACCATTCTGGTGCCAGAATGTAGTGAGGTTTCAAACAAACGGGATGAATTTAATTAAATATATTTTGCCTGATTAAAAATTCACTTCGTCTTCAGACCCTTGAAGTGGTCAAAGAGCTCTTAATGGGCGGCCATCTAAACAGGCTTTAGTGCCATCTTTCCTGTTCTGCCCATGCTCTCAGATACCATATCCCAATCATAAGGAAAAGATAAGTTGAATAAACTTTTCTCAAAATCACCTCAACCTTTGTTTCTTTCAAATGCGTAGGTCCTGTGAGTGTACTTTCAAACTGTTTCGGCTTTTGAATCCTGTTTTTCCAGGCAGTACTTGCACTTCACGTGAGATACCGGTTAGATGGGTGTTGAAGCGCCTCGCCTCCAATAAGGCTTGCCAAAGTTGTAAATACACATCCAGCAGATTTGAAAACCATACTTGTGTAAGTCTCAGAGATATTTTACATCCTAGTAAAGGCGATTAGGCATGTGAGCGTGATAATGTGTTCTCCCAGGTTGTCAGCACTGCGGACTTGCTGCCTTCTGGCCCCAAGAAGTAATAGTTGGAAACGTACAATCTAAAAGCTTTAGATCGTAACTTTTTCTCAGGTGTTCCATAACTGATGGTATGTCCCTGTGCGGTTACATGGTTTCTGACTGGTATCAAGTAGATTTCCCTCAGGCTCTACAGTTGGTAAACACTAATAGTCCTATAAAGTATGATTATATTTTTATAGTTTACACACAATGATAAGTTTTGTTATTGGTAATATTTCGAGCAAAATTACCAATAACAAATCTTATCATTGTGCGTAAACTATAAAAATATAATTATACTTTATTTGATCTAATCCACAATACTCAAACTTTTTACTGATATTAACTAATAGTCCTCTTTTTTAGGCAATCCAAGTAGAACCTCATTCCCATAGTGTGGCCATAAGCCACAACTTCACCATGGGCAAAATAACCTAACAATCTCAAACGCCTAGAAAGCAGATACAGATGCCATTGCCTGAGTCGCCAAATCATAGGACTGATACATGGATCCCCAATCTCACGTGGAAGACGCGTGGAACCATTTCAAATGCCTAGGCAAACCAATCCTTCATTCCTTGATCTATTTCAAAGGGGCGAAAACATTGTCCCTCACGAGTAAACCGAGAGATTCGTGGATTACACAAACGTAAACATAAATGCTGGAACCTGTTTATCATACTTAAGACTTCTGAGACCAGAAATTTGTGCACCGTTGCAAGAAACAAATCTATCGCATGAATTCGTTAGTCAACAATAAAGTACAAAATATATCTACCTCCAAAAGCAACGGCATGGCCCAAGAAAAGCTTTTCGAACAAGGCATTCAACAAGGGCTCAAAGCTGACTATTGATTATTACAGCCGTAAAGGAGCAGGAAAAAGTAGGGGTATTTGAAGGTTGCTTCTCCAAAGTCCTCATCCAGTAGTCATCACTCACTACAAGCAGCAGTCGTAGCCGTAACAGAGTTTCTGCGCGACTAGGAAGACTCCATGGCAAGCACCATCCACAAAGTAGGATACCAACACTGTCCTTCATGCCTCATCAGCACTTTGATAAGGTACTAGAAAGAATCACTGGGAAAGGTATCACGGGACGTCTGGAAGACAGGGCGATTACCTGAGCTCACACGTTATCCCTCGAATTTTTTATGAGGTTGACCTAACAATGGGGTGCAGCTGTAGCGTGACGATGACATATGGATGTCACAAATGGACACAAAAACTGTCAGGCTGGTCTAGATAGTGGATGCTCACAATCAACGTAGCGAAGAGCTCAACAGGGCGCATTGGACACACAAGCGTCAGCTCATGCTCACTAGAGAGAATAACACTCCCGTCATTTCAGACTAATTTGGATCTAGTTTTCATAATAAGCCACGATTTAAAAGCTACAGAACACTGTCGCTCTATGACAGCACGTAGTTTCAGATCTTTATGGGTGATTCAATGGGCATTTACTAGAATCACTGGAGGGCGATAATGTTCACTTCTATATAGACAAGTCTGGTCAGGCCGTGATTGGAAAATTACATTAAGACATCTGGCCCTTGCCTTAAAGGCGAATTAGGCGTTCTGGAGACGGTCCAAAGGAAGGCAAGATATATGATTCCTCGCATGACTAATCTATCACACGAGGAAAGACTAGACGGAGGAGAGAAAATTTAATTACACTGTTTGGAGTTTCAAATAATGAGTCCGCGCGTGGTCTATTTTCCCTTTTTCCCTCGCCACACTAGGTCAAAAACATAAGAGGGCACAGTAGGAGAGTTCAAAAGCAAGGGGGAAACCATGTCACTGTGGAGCACTTGCTCTTACAGTCATAAACTCCTGGAACCGATTACCTCAAATGATTCATCCCAGAAGGGTTTACGCGAACACAAAGACTGATTGGAAAACGGTTGACACAGACGCCTGGCTTTCTGTCCCAACCAATAAAGCTGAAACCCTTAAATATAGTTTTAGGTGACTAGGATCAAGAAGTGAAAGTGAGGAAATCAGCAGCCCCATGAAGAAGAGTTCAAGATAAAGTCATTCCGAAATCTTTAAGTGCAAAATGTCGAGAAACCTTCAACCTAATATTAAATTAAAAGGGGATTGAAATTTGAGTTAATTTCTGAACGTGTCTAGTTTGGAGGGATTTTAACTGAAGGTGCTACGTGGCGGAGATGTTGCTTGATAATGATACGGTAATTTTCACTATGCTTATCTGTGAATGTGTAGTTCCTTACATCACTACACAAGTTCTTTAATCAATCTAAGTCCAGTGGTTCTCTTTACATAACGATGAAGAGATGTAGGTAATGCTTCCTGAGATAAGCTGAAATGTCTTTTGTAGATGATGGCCGCGTTAAACCGATCCCAAAGAGGAGTCAGAAGGCGAAAGATGCCCATGTCGCTTCCGAAAATAGCTGCCTCATTCGTGCCACTCTTGGGAACCAAAAAATCAGTACGGTTGTAAGTTGCAGAATTTTGAGTACTCCGTTTTTCGGTATGTTGATACCATATTTGTGTGACTACAGCCCAAATATAGTGTCTTCAACAAGGTTTTCTGCAAATCAGCAGTGTATCATTATATATATTATGCATTGTGGGAATTCTGCGTTACTTTGTTAAATCAAATAAATGGCAGTAGCTCTTATGTTTAAGTCACTAGAACTGCAAGTTAGTACCTACGATTCTAGTAATATTCCACTTCTATTGCTGTAAACTTGTTGCTTTTCGTTGCACGTTACGAAGTTCATTCTAAGTCACTTGTAGTTTGCTAGGCCTATGAACCCAACAGTGGTCTGTTTCATAAGTACTCAACATGTATTAATCGGTTAGACTGTGCAGTTCTAATATAGCTAACAAACTGAGCTGAAATTTCATTGGTCGTCAGCATTTTACTTCACACACATTTGCCCGAGTTACTAATTAGCCCACCTGACCGTAACATACTATAAAATGTCCATGTAACGTTATCTTACATCCAAATGAATTGGAAGTACATTTAAAGCATATGTGTTGAACCAAAACTATGCATTCTTGACTGCTCATAGGCAAGTAGTTACCTTCATCAGTAGGCATGCTGATATAGCACTAGTGATTGTTTTCACTGTCGATGTAAACTCGGTTATTATGGAATAGCGTGATTTACTGGTCATATTGTTTTTCCGCAGTCTAATACTTCACATGGTTAGCCAAGTTATTCTGACTAAGAATACTGAAGGAAATTCACTAGGTAATTTGAATCGGTAAGCACTTATCCACCAACTTCTCAAGCACATACTATTATCCTCTAAACGAGCACAAGAACTTGGTTACTTTGCCTATTGGTTGCAAATGCTTGGACATTGTTTTCAGTTGACGTTTTTTTAATATGCCTTATTCTTTGTGTTTGCCTGTCATTAAATTTACAAAGTGTTGTCAACTGTTTGTCCTTTTGGCACGTCTCATAATGTTAGCCCATCTTCGGAATAGCATCTTATGGCAGCTAAATAAGCGAGAAATGTGAGGCGAGTTGATAATACACCTCTCGGGAAATGTTTTCATCTAAATTATTTTATTTGTATCTTCACTAGTAAATAGGAATAGGTAACCTAGCCGAAATATGGCTTCTCAATACTGTTATCTCGCTAGGCTCACTGTCACTATCAAATTTCATATATGTAGCAATGTTTATTGAATAATATCAGCGAGGTATCAGATATGGAATGCCATTAATACCACAAAATTTTAACGAGCATTAAAAGTAGGTATCGAAATTTTCATAATTAATAATATCAAAAATAAAGTTGCTCAAAAGATAACAAGACTGATATCCAAGTTAGCCGGAATAAGACAATCGACAAAGTTATGTACGTGGCGAAAGGCCCTACAAGGGGTGGTTTGTTTTTCGGCAACAAGAATACAACACGTAGAAGGTTTTATTCCTGCTCCATACGAAAAATCTTTTAAAATTAGCAGAATACTGTTAATGAACCATTCATTTCGGGAATTTACCGTATTTAAGTATACGAAATGTTTTAAATCAAATGCCCGAGTAGTAAGCATTAATCTGTATTTTTGGTTATTTAACAGTGTAATTATTTCATTCGACATACCAGTTTATGCTACCCTTATTTCCTTTATGGCCTTCGGTTAGATTTTACTGGTGACCGGCGTCTATAACTAAGAATATAAGGTATATAAGTATAAAACTTGGACACTGATAGAGTATAACTCCATTATGAATAAAATTTTATTTTGATAAATCACACATTGTTGTACAGTAATATTAACTGATGACGTTTCGAGCACATTATTGCTCATAATCATATCAAGTATACTTTTTCAATTGCCACTGTGTGCATGAATTTGACTACTGTGTGACCTATAACGTAAGCATTTTCTTAGGCAAAATGGTGATCCTTATTTAGCGGTCAAAGTCATTGTATATTATACAAATCTTTCATGAGATAGTAACTTACGTGTCCTTGATATCTTAAGCGTGTTGGTCGGGATCTATCGACAGAAATATGGGAATTGCATCAGCTTATAACTGTTTGAAGTAATGCTGGAGAATTATTAACTTCCATTTCGGATAAACATAAACTAACGCCTGTTTACTCTTTTCTTATCTGGCCCATGGTTCTAAGGTTTAGGTCAGCATTGTGCTGCATTTATAGTACTAACTGATGCAGAAAACTAGTGAAACCTTCTTGTGTGGACACCTTGAGCAGAAATGTTTGGCATGCGATGCATTGTTGTCAAATGTAAGGTGATGCTGCAGGACTGGGCTACACCGATTCCTAGCTTAAAGTCAGAGTGAGGTCGTAGAGCATGTTGACTACTTCATTTATTTGGAAATTCAGATCGGACCTAGAGGACTGATTGCCGGTACAAAGGGCTCATGTGACATTTACCAACTTAAGTCACCTCTGGCGTAGACATGATATCTGGCGGTCGATCAAAGGACGTGCGTACTGAGCAGCATTTCGTTTTAGCCTCCTTTATGGCTGAGACATGACCATTGAAAGTGGGATATAGGAAAAAGAGAACTGTCTTAGACTTCAAATGTTTCAGTGTGTATCTCTCTTGTTAAGTGGTTTAATATGGTGATTAGTATTGAGGTTAGGCGTATAGTGTTAGGTAAAGAGGGTGAGTAAATCAATGATGTTGTGAAGCTACATCGACTAAGACGGCTAGGATGTGTTGCGCCTGCTGAACCACCACCTTCCTCGATAAGTAATGTTAGCCGACATAAGATTGAGTTGGCAAACTTACGGATGGTCAAACACTTCATGGTCAGTCCATGAAGTTTGTGGTCCTCCGGATGCTTAGAACCGTTGCCTGGAGACTACTGGTGATATAGCTCAAAGTTGTTCTCAGTGGTGCACTTACTCTTATTATCTCTCATATCCATTAAACCCTAGTGCTCTTCCATATTTACCATTCTTAATCCCTCAGTTTTCTACCTATTACAGTTTCCCTGTACCTTTGTATTCTACTTGAAGTGTGGGAACTTGTACTGCTGCACTTTTGTGGAAATTTCTTTGTTGGAACCCAGCACCAAGTGTGACATGTACACTGCCTTGGACGTAATGATATGTCAGTTTGAGTACAATTGTTCATACAGTGAAACACAACAAATCAGCAGAATTTAAGGATCTTCATTTCATTCACGTTTCTCAATTTCATGTTTTTCATGTGGTATTTCGAAATAGTACGGGGAAGTAATTAAATTTCTGGTCGCAGCAGTACTAAATTAATTTAGATGTAGACTTGCAGTCTTGAAATAGCAGTCAAGGCATAGAAGTTAGCTCATAGACCATTTTACTTTGAAAAGTAAACTGTCTACCAGACTTTAATTAATAGGGTATTTGTGGTAGATAAACAGTTTTTTTATGAATAATATATATATAGGGTGGTGCATTAATTAAGCAGTTGTTAAATTATAAAACTGCTTGTTATTTAACGAAAAATGTACTTGTAAGTAATTAATATTACCATTTTTAGAATGTAAAGCAGATTGTATTTAATTATATGAAAATAGGTTCATCAAAAAGATATGAATAGATTCAATCAGGCTTATTCCAACCTTTTGAAAGCTAACATTGATGGTCTGAAAAAACGTGACAAGCGTGTGAAGGCAGCGAATTCATCAAGTAAAATCAGTCAATCTAAAATGGATAAAGGTTAATATTTTGATGTTGTTTCTTCACCTTTACATTTAATATAATGTATTCATACTTTGCTTCCTGTACATAATACTGTGTCAAATGTTTCGGTTATTTTGGTGATATGATAATAAAAATGTGCATACTTTTGGTGTCTATTGTTTTATGAAATTTAGTACTTTGTCAATCTTTAAGTAAAACGGTTGAACCCATCTATTTGGTGATAAAAACTCAATCATACCCTACTTAGCTCGTGTTCTGTGCGATAAAGAAAGCATTAGGCGTGATACCTTTAACTCATTAAATAGTCAGTAGAACAACTGGATCTCGTCTTTCCAACTCATATCATTTATAGGTACAACGTTTTCTTTCTTTTCCTTTTCTCTCTCTTTTTCTGTTATGTGCTGCTTTCTTTCTTTCTTCCTTACTAACTCTACTAAAACATTTTTCGTTCTCTCACACTCTGTATATCTCGACCTTTTGTTACCGCTTACGCCAGTAAATATGCTACCATCTACTTTTCTTACATCTTCAAATACTCTGTTCAATTCTGGCTTTGCTACCGACATGCCGATATGTTATTGTCATAATAAACTGAGATTACCTTAATCTATGTAGAATTTATTTATTGATAATGTACTAACTGGATGCAATACTGTAGTAAAATGCTGAGAATTCCATTCTGTATCACAAGTACTGTTCTGGAATAAAGCAAATTATTATTATTATAAAATTACAAAGTGTATCATAGAACTGGAGACGAATGTACCTTACACTACCGCTGTTCATACAATATCCTAAACTTCTAACGGGTAAAGATGTAGTATGTATCTTATTTCACTGATTTCTGTTTTCATCTCGCTGCAATCGTATACAACATGTAACTTTACCAAATTGGTATTAAACGGTCTAATTTAGTGGTCTTGGCTGGATGTGTGAGACACGGTATGTTATCCGGTGATTCAAAGAGTGAAATTCTCTTGGAAACTCAGCTCGCTCCCTGTTGTAATCACTTAGGATTAAAATAGGGAAAACTAACATTATCAAAGTATTACGAAGCCTTTTTGTGCACAACTTTTTTGTGATATTACGAAGTCTATATCTGGGATAGAAATTGCTAATTGACTACAATACCACACCCTGTGGAGGCCTGGTTCAGTATCCAGTTTTCTGTACAATCAGTCTGAAAAGCTATCGACTGCATGCAACCAAAGCTTATTAAATGGCAGTGGATTTCTGCAGATTGATCCGAACCCACATATGCAAGGAAACCGATTCTGGCAGACTTTGAATATGGCGAAGAGAAAGTTGTTCAAATATAAGCTGACTAAAAAGTCTCGCGATGACTGGGAACAGTAGAGGGAGACAGAAGTCCAAGAGACGGAAAGTACATCAGTGGGAAATGATATCGGAGAAATATTTAGACACATAAAGGATGCATCTTTTACAAAAATCAGTGGTAAGTGAAATGATTTCTGAAAAAGATGAAACTGCAATCACTTCTCAGGAGTAAAGACTGCAGGGAACATTATCAGTACTTCAACTACCCTGCAGCTATGAGGCATCCAACCTGTACTTGAACGGTATGTCGATATGGTCCACCATCTCTAACTGAGGTTGAAAAAGCGATCTCTCATATAAGATGAAGCAAAGCAGCAGCATATGATACGATAACCCTAGATGTGTTAATCATTGATTCGATAAGTTATGTTGACTATGTCTTCACTCTTCAGCAGGTTCTGCAATACAGAGGTGTACTTGCTGCCGTCTAATACTTGTTATGTTCAGTCATGTTGGCAAGGGATTTTATTACTCAACTAGGGATGCTGTACCAGTCCGAAAAGTATCGCGTGAGAAGATAATTTATAATGCCCCTGCCGAGGAACCAACAACGGGTAGAGTCATCTTTCGTAATTCTGTTCAGATAATGTTTCTGGGCAGTATTAATCTCAAGCAGAAGGGGAAACACTGTCTCACCTACCTGGCGTCAGGCGATGGAAATAAATGCTTCATCCAGCTACGCGTTGATTGAAAGTCTTCTCAATGAAGGCAAATCAGTGGGCGACGAAAGCGAAAAATATAGAAGCGTCTTCAGCAATAAGCAGAACACATGTGAACTTTTCCAAAGTGTAGCAACGTAAACTGCGGGATTTTTGTACTAGATTCTGTGTTCATATGTCAATCAGGGCTGTAAATGCCAATGTAGTTGATAATTTAAAGCATAGTAGAATTTGGATAATGTAGTAGAATATAGTTTCACGATAGATGAGTTTGTTTCGTTAAAAAACAGTGATACAGTATTAACACCTCGATGATGTTTCAAGCAAAATTTATTGCTCACGAATCTATTACAATCCTTACATAACTTTTAAATTTTGATTATATAATTCCACCATTTCTTATCCCTTAATTTATTGATAACAGTATTTTCCATACGTGTGATATCAGTGTTGCGTCTTCGCATATATAAATTAGGGAGAATTAAATTTACATTTGAGTTAGAACAGGAACATGGAGAATTAGCCATGTTAGATTGTAAAATAAGGCGAACAGGAGAAGGTAAGTTATGTACCAACGTTTATAAAAAGCTAACACACACCAATAGATATTTAAACTTCAAGTCATCTCATCCGTCATCTGATAAACAGGCTTGAATAACGAAATAAATAACTTTTCCATAAAATTCTCTAGGAAGTTCCTAAAAGATCAAAATAAGAGAAAAACGTGGCTAAATTATTTAACTATAACATAAGAAAGGAAGAATTTAAGACATTTCCAGTTTTACCGTATACGAAAGTTACGTCCGAAACCGTACTTAAAATTCTTGATAAAGCATGAAACAGGGTGGCACTTAAACCTACAAACTCTCTCTCTCTCTCAAAGATGTACTCTGTAGGCTAGAGAATCCGATTAGGCAAAATGATTTCATGTACAAAATACGTTGCAATGATTGAGGTCAACTACATAGGTTGGATCAGGGACAGTCAGGTTATTGGAGCATAAGAATTTGGTTGAGTGAAGAATTATTGACCCCAATAAGATGAATAGTTTAAAGGAAAACTCAGAGGTCTCAATGCATGCACTAACACACAGTCACACCAGTTGGGACAGCTGAAGTTGTCTTTGGTCACAGGTGCCTGAGTTCTATCTCCCGTGTGAAGTGGTATAATAGAGTGAGCAATATTGAGGTTAGGCATCGGTCGAGTGCTAGGTAAGGAGGGAGGGGAAATCAATAGACGAGGCTGTAAAGCTACATTGAGTGAGATGTTTGTTGCGTATGCCTAGTCATCGCCTTTCTCGACGGGCAATGTTAGTTGGCATAGGGTCAGGCTGGAAAAGACCTAGCGGCGGCCAGACCAAAACATGGCCTCATCAGTCAGTGAAACCCACAACTGTTAGTTTAAGCCAGCCACGTAGGAAGATGTAGACATCGTGGCTTATTGTGACCTTCGGGACGGAGAAAACCGATGAAGGCTGGGGACATTTGGTGACAGGGCTCAAAATCGTTCTCAATGGCTGGTGCAGATGCATCCACTCCTGTGACTTATAATTTCCAATGGAACTGTATTGTTCTTCGTTATTAATGTTCTTTTTGTCTCATATCCCTATCTACTGTCTCTATTATGCATTTCTTCTACTTTCTTGCTGTGTGTGCTACATGGAGTGTGGCGACTCGAACGGCTGCATATCAGTGCAAAGTTCTATGTTGAAACCAGTCAGTCATGTTGATTATAGGTTTGTTGTTTGCAGTTATTCGGACAATAGATTAGTTGTTTTTGGCCCACCCTAAACCCCAGAAAAGAAGGAAGACTGTGAGTGGTACTATAACAACAGAAGACAAGGGCCAGTCAGCAGATCGTTTATTAAGGAAATCAACACGTATTTATATATTTTCAGTCTTTTTCTGTTGGCGCATTTTATTCTTACCATTCTAACCTAATCGTACTTCTTTCAGGATAGCACGTCGAAACGGACTTAAAGCAGCCATAAATAGAACTATTCTCAAGCATTGTAAGCAGTCAAGGTTCAGCACACATCAGTTGAGTTACTTGTTTTACCTAAGACTTTTCGTCTAATTACTACAGTTCTCAAATGACTTGTTCAGTCAGTGTTACAAATCCAACGTCGGTCAATTAACTAAAGAACAAAAGGAATGACTAGTACAGATTTAGATAGTCAGTACTGGTACAGCAGAACAGAATATTTACTGTGAGTACAGACCAATTAGACCGAAGTAATTTTTGATAATATAATGCGTTAATACATATGCTGTTCAAACAAAGTAGCTGATATTATGTCCTCGCTAAACTCTCTCTATGTTTAACTGACTACTTAAACATATTAGACTGTCATTTTGCAATACACATGCGCTAAATCCATATTACGGCAAACCTGAGTTTTTATCTAAAGGGGCAAATCAAATATTTTCCCAAGATAATCAAGATATTTTTGTTAAAATGAATCATACATGAAGGTATTTAGAATAAAAATATAATCGAACAAAGTAATGTATTCAATCAGGTCTTTATCAGGCTCTAATCGAATAAAAAATTCAACCGATAAGGAGGATTTGTAGGTCACTGATAAATGTTGTAAATTATAAAGATTATAACAACGAAAGCAATAGTATCGATAATAGCAATTAGTTAAAGCAGGCAGCAATAAAAAACATGATAATGTAAATGTTTCAATAATTAAATTAGGTGAAGAGGTTATACAATTAGAAGTTACGCAGTGCTGAAAATGAAGTGGGTAGAACTGAATTCTTAACATAGATCTTTGCACAAAACTCCAGGGGTTCAGTTTGCCATACTTCACCAAAAGCACAAGGATGAAAATGAATTGCAAGGAGACTTTAAGAACCAAAATTTACGGGAGAAATAATCAGGACAGGAAGAATAAACAGTGTCATGGATCTGGATGATCACAAAGGGTAGGTGAAATTGAACCATTAAGAATGGTTTCGAGCCATGTCAGCACACCAACCATTGATTCTTAAAAACTCGTCGACCCCACCCAACCA